CTTCATAGGTACCTTATGTCAGCTGATGTCACATTTTTCGAGTCTAAACCTTTCTTCACAACTAATGTCACTTCTGCTGACCACCATGACATATCTGAGGTTTTACCTATACCGATTTTTGAGGAATTTAGTAATCCTCCTCCACCTTCAACCACAGAGGTTTCACCANATTCCTTAACTCCCACCTTGATAATAGCTCTTTTGTTTGGGTCATTCATCCCTGTTGTTAAAGGTGCGCTTAAGCCCTGAAGCGAGCGAAAAACATGTTGAGCGCTTTGCCTCACTTAGCTGGCGTTTCGGTGTCGTAATCTACGCTCTAAGGAATACTTTTTCTTACCAATGAGTGTAATCCTAAAGAGGTTACACTAAACAATTTATATTTGTTATTCTTGCTTTATAATTATTAATCTTGGACTACACATATGTATTTGTATTTTTTCTCCATTTGCGCCTTTTTTCACTAAAGCCCACGCTTTATTTGCGCTTTGCGCTTAAAGCCCCAATGGACCTTAGAGCTTTTTTGCGCTTTTCACCTCTTTGATAACACTGCTATCCCCCTCACGTTTCATGTAATGATTTTAATATTCATTAACTACTGCTTTTCCTTTCCCATCCTTAATTCCTCCCTCCTTCTTTCCCCTCCTTTTGTCCCTAAACCTTTTCGTATACACCATAATGTTCCCCCCTCCCGTCATGTCTTCTAGTCAACTCCCACTCTGTTGCTATCCTCGCTTTCCCTCTCCTATTCCCCACTACCTCCTTTGGGTCATATTCAATGTCAAGTAGAAGTTGTATGGCCCTATCCCCCTTGCCATCAAAAGTAAACAACAACAACAACAACAAGCCCAATATTTTCCCACAAGTGGGGTCTGAGGGTGAGATGTACGCAGTCTTACCCCTATCCTAGAAGGACAGAGAGGCTGTTTCCGATAGACCTTCAAAAGTAACACCCAAAAATTCCCCAAAGTTGAGGTATTTGTTCCCTCGCCAATCCGGACAATCTCCTTCCACCTTTGAAGATTGCTAAGAGTGGATATTCTCCTCCACTTCCACATTTTCTCCTCTAAGATTACCCATGTACTCAACTACTTGATCCTTTACCACACCACTTCCAACGCTCACCTCCACCCAATTGAAAATTCTCCCTCACTGCCCAAGACCACGTAGGCCTCTCTACCCCTTCGGGGGTAGGGGTAAGGTCTGCGTACACTCTACCCTCCCTAGACCCCACTTGTGGGATTTTACTAGGTTGTTGTTGTTATTGTTGCCCAAGACCACGTAGATACCCCCCC